GCTCTTCCGATCTAAAGAACTCTTTAAGCTGTATATATAATATATATATAATATATATATAATATATATATATATATATATATATATATATATATATATATATATATATATATATATATATATATATAATATATATATATAATATATATATATAATATATATATATAATATATAATATATAATATATAACATATAATATATAATATATATAAATATATATAATATATAATATATATAATATATAATATACATATATATATATATATATATATATATATATATAACATTTGAGTTGAATCTTATCATATTACGGAGTGAACATTAACACAACATAACATAACACTTGCAGAACTAGCATAGTTCGATGCTGAATTAATATAAACGAGTATGTTTATGACATTCAGTATATACAGTTCATAATTTCCATTCTTAAATCCGTCTGACGGTGTACCTCAATCGATATATATTGTGCTTTTTTGTGTATCTATTGTGTTTTTTTGGACTGAATTTATTTTAATTAGTATGATTATATAATTGTTCATCCTAATTAGCATTCTTTTGTAGTTGTATTTTAAGCTATTTAAGACACTCGTTGTCGTGTTTTATAAAACACTCCTACTTTGTTTTAGATAATACATATTATTTTTATGCAAATTTAATTTGGACTGTCCATCATCAGATTTGTAGAGTGTTTGAGATTTTTCAGAAGAGATCCTCTTGCAAAATTTGGCAAAACAAAAGGCAAAATAAACTCTCCCTTTCTTGTGTATAGACTTAAAGATGACGATGACGGTGCGGCAGAAGTAGGCGTGGTTCAAACGACGAAAGAATCAACGGAATACCAACATTCTGACAACCCAATGATTAGTTTTGTTGATTTACCTGGCATCGGCACACCAAACTTTCCTGATCTTGAAACCTACTGTGAAAAAGTTGCCTTTGAAGATTACGATACCTTCCTCATTTTCGCTGCAACGCGTTTTACACAAAATGACTTAGAACTGGCAAAGAAAGTGAAATCCATTGGAAAGTCATTTTTTCTTGTTCGTACGCACATCGACGAAGACTGCAATGGAAGATCAGTTAATGAGCCAGAAATTTTGAAAGAGATTAGAGACAATTGCATGGATAACGTAAAAGACTTCATATCCAGTGAGAAGGAAATCTTCCTAATCAGCAACTACCATAAAGACAAATGGGACTTCGACCGTCTGATTGCAGCCATCAGCGATGCCTTGCCCGTTCGTCAAAGAGAGTGTTTAACACTTTCTTTATCAAATGTAACACGTGAATGCCTGAAGAGAAAAACAAAGTTTCTCAGAGGTAATTAGAACAAATTAAGGTTCAAGTGTGATTTTAAATTGCCTGTTTTGTTTTGTTTTGTTTTGTTTTGTTTTGTTTTGTTTTGTTTTGTTCTTCATATAGTTTGCAGTGACGCATCGTCAAAGAAAACTTTCTTCAAGTTCACTCTGTTTCGGTTCCCGTTGCGGATTCCATGACACTTATGCGAAAACAGTTAGTCAACGCTCTAACAAAAATCATGGGTAAAATCCGCGTACTCAGGTTTCTCCACACAGGGAAATGTGACAGGCTTGGTTGAAATAAGTCCTATTGTGGTTTCATACTGACACTTCCACCGTAAATGTGCTCCTTGATCAGAAATAAGTCGTAAGATGGCCGCAAGAAGCGCACTTAGAAAGCCTTCGATTCGATCATGTTGAACTGGGTCTTTTTTAATTTGGCTTTAGCTCTCAGCTGCAAAAAACCATGCACACTGCCAGTTCGTTTCCACACCACACGCCCGCTAGCGCGACATGAAGCCATCGAAGCTGAAAGCCCTTTAATTATCCTTGAAGAATTCCAAGCTCAAAACCCTTTACCCGTGAAAAATTTGAAGCTCAAAACCCTTTATCCCTGAAGAATTCCAGGGATATTCGATAGAAGGGGTATAGATATTAATTAAACGGAATAGCCCAATGCACTAAAGTAAGTAGGTTAACTATATAGTCGCAGATCCACAGGCTCATCAAGATGTTCTAGATATTTTATATTATAAAAATTTTCTATTAGTACGTATTTGTATGTATCTACATTATAATGTAGAACATTCTAAATTGTAAAACAGTAAAAATACAACAGTCATCTTCTAAACATCTGAGGCTTTGCCAGTGAGTCAATAGCCAATATCACTCATTTCTATCCTTCTTGCGAAGTGTCGACACCATTTCTTGACCGTATAAAATCCATAAAAATGCTTACTTTACAGTATATGACATCATGTATCTATTTACCCACTTAGCACAATCATAGTTAATAGAAGAGATGGTTTGGAAACTTATTAGAATGACAATATAACTCATTATCTATGTTAGTCAACGTTGGGAGCGGCTAAACGGAGAGTTATGAAGTGGAGAGTTATCTCGGAGAGTTATGATTTCGGAGAGTTATGTTAGAACCACGCCCACTTTCCCCAACGACCACACCCAATTTCTTAACTCTCCCGATGTTTCCTTGAACTAACATGAGAGAGTTATGTTTGACGTAACTCTCTCTCGTTAACATTATGAAGATGTTAGAGAGTTATCATTTTTTATAACTCACTGCGTTCACGATTATGGCAATGAAGAGAGTTATGTCAGTTTTTTGAAAAAAACTTCCACATTTTAGTAAATTATTGTGAATTTACTTTTTTCTCAAGTTTCAGCTGTAATATTTCACGCTAGTAGAAACTAGTACTTTAGTACTTACCAAGTGAAGCGAGTACGAGTAAATAAATTATTATACATGCTCACTTGGATTACCTACAAAGCCCAGCATTCAGATACAGCTCTCGTATTAGATAGAACCAGAAAACCTTTCCAAATTTGTCAATTTCCTTGCAACTATGCTTACCGTATTGATTGCCAAATATACGTCAAAACATGCTTCTGGGGGTAATTTGACCCATCTGCGGCAAGCATCTCATTGTTTTGACCGAGTCAGGTTGTACTATTTCCTGTTTGGACGCACGCTATTGACACGCTACAAACTGAAATACCGAAATATAAGATCTTTACTATTTAAAGGTTTCTCAAAAAACTGACATAACTCTCTTCATTGCCACAATCGTGAACGCGGAGAGTTATAAAAAATGATAACTCTCTAACATCTTCATAAAGTTAACGAGAGAGAGTTACATCAAACATAACTCTCTCATATTACTTCAAGGAAACGTCGGGAGAGTTAAGAAATTGGGTGTGGTCATTGGGGGAAGTGGGCGTGGTTTGGGCGTGGTTCGAACATAACTCTCCGAAATCATAACTCTTCGAGATAACTCTCCGGTTGGTAACTCTCCCTTTAGTCATACCCGTCAACGTTTATTCATAAATCTTGTCCTTCACCGTCACGTGCGTATTGTATTTTTGCCCAACTAACCAATAGCAATGTTTTAGGAAAGTTACCTATCCATGACACGAACAATAGGGTAAATTGGAAATTGCTATTGGTGGATTTGGCAAAAATACAATACACACGTGACGGTGAAGGACCAGCTTTATGAATAAACGTTGACTAACATAGATAATGAGTTATATTGCTATTCTAATGAGTTTCCAAATCTCTTCCATTAACTATGGCACAATTCAGTGTTGCGGATTGGGCAAGAGCATGCGCACAACTAACCGGTTGTTCAACATTAGACTTCCGGCATTCCGTTTGTCCAGAGTCAGGCCCAGCACCTAACCTGCGAACGGGAATACACTGGGGTACAAGATTGGTAGAACATTTGAAATTGACGCGCTGCTATTGAGCATTGCATGTTTAGTGGAACAAAACATATTGCAAGGCTGTGTTTTGTTATCTGGGATAATAGAATCTTGGGAGAGTTTTCTTAAAAATTTTGTTACTGCTTACATAGAGAATTGCTTAGTGTTTTATTTTTCAAATATTTATATAGTTCAAGCTGTTGTAGTGGCATCGCTTTCAGCGGGGGCTATTGGAATTCCAATTCCCTTATTGGGATGTGCTATTGACGCTGTAGTTATAAGAGGGAGAGTGAAAGCTTATTTCAAGCAATTAGGCCTTGACAACACAACGTCTGAAGAACGTGCCTCGTTGGATAAACAATCCAGGGAGGTTATAGAAAGATATCAGTCTGGATCAGTCAAGCAGTGGACTTCAGCAATTGCGACCGATGTATTGATGGTTGGAGTTGAAGAATTTTCCAAGTATATTCCATTCATAGGAATAGTCATCGCAAGTAGCATCGGGTTTGCTTTGGTATTGCATTTCCTTTTAAAGTGTATAAACGAGCTGGAAGAAGCTGCCATAGCTGTCTGGGATAACGCCGTGAAACGATCAATTCAGAATGATTCGGACACAAGCACAAAGAATTAATCGACACAGTGACTAATGCATGAAATATATTTCGAAATATTTTATTATTGGAACGATTAACTTGCCCACCATATAGTGGCAGCCAGTATTACAATAATATCAAGCCCTACAAATATTGCAGCTCAAAATAGATGAGTGAATGAATGAGTGAAAATTCAATGTAATTTTGAGCAGCCTGTATGCACGTTCGTTCTAGTTTTAGATTTCAAATAAGTTGTTTAAGGTAATTCCGCAGTAATTGTTCCAGAAATGAGAATGTGTTGAAACTTCCCAGGCATGGAGTTTATGATATACTTAAAGTAAAATCACACAAAAAAGTCGGGGTCACCGAACTCGTTAAGAAGATATGACAATTACAATATACCACCTTTACCCCCAATATGGCGCCATCTTGACGCTCATTACGAGTAACAGCAAAATTACAACAGCCCGATATTTATTGACGTTTTTAGCGTGGATATTGCTTTAGTAAACCTATATTGTAATTATTTTTGAAAAAATATTGTGTTTTGAGCAAAATGAGACTACTATCGTGTACAATTCTAATCCACAGATGTCTTTTCCACATTTCTTTACATATCTTTCTTTGAGAACATGCATTGATAAAGGATTTTTTTTCAAGATCCAGAAATGATTTTTCTTTTAATTTCGGATATAAAATGTAAAATACATTAAAGTGCATACGACATGAAATTTCTTATTTTCTTAAATGAAAGAACTCTTTAAGCTGTAGTGTAACTTATTTTTCAGTTTCTTGTTTTTATGGTTTGTTCCCGAGATATTTCAATTTGATATGCAAATGGTGTGAATATGTCGCTAAATTTTGACGTCATGTTGGTTGCAAGCTCTTCAAAATGGTTGAATATCACTGCTATCATCCAAGATGATAATTTCAAACTTCACTCACTGGTAAATGTGATGAAACACTGTAGAAAAACGTGAACAGATATCTACAGTTTTTAGATTTAATAGATTTATAACCAATGTAAGTTGAGCTTGCAACCAACATGACGTCATAAATTAGCGGACATATTCACACTCATTTACATATCAAACAAATTGACCGAATATCTCGGGAACAAACCATTAAAAAAAGAAACCGAAAAATAAGTTACACTACATCTTAAAGAGTTCTTTCGTTTAAGAAAATAAGAAATTTCATGTCATATGCACTTTAAAGAAATAAATTATCAGTTAAAAAACGGGGGTCACCGATCTTTTTAGGGAATTGTGGCATTAAAACGTGAAATACAAGTAAAAAAATACTACATACACAGGGAACCCTAGCTACACTTTTGTATGCCTTATTTGAAAACATTGATTTTAACGTGATTCTTTGCCCGAATGTAACCAAAGATGTTTTGAAGTAATATAAATGTCATAAAATGATTTTTTTTAAACAATACGTATAATGAATGAAATTATAAGCTTTAAGATATGCGCAGTAAAAGTGCGCAATGCAAAACTGCGGAATTACCTTAATAATGTTTTAAAATTAAACTGTATGGTTATTATTAGACAAGTCAGGCGTTGCTTTAAATGCATGGACACCATTTTGTTCACAACGTGTCCTAGTCCTAAGCTGTAGAAACGGACCTCGCAATTATCATGATGCAACATTATATACTGTATTACACGCACTTCATGTAATACGAATTATAGAGGTTTTATTGCGGATTGAAGCATTACATTTATATGGATTTTTTAAAAGTAAAAGACTTCGGGAGACTTATGATTATACGCTATTAAGTCGCTAAGGGTTTGAAAATTTCATTCAACTGTGTAACGTCAAGTCTTTCACATTTTAAAAAAAGCAAAGCTATATATTTCCAATTTCCAGCCAAACTAAAAGTTTACTTTTGTAAGTGCTGCCATGTTTGTTTTGTTTCGAAGCAATCTGTGCCGTTACTTGACGACTACTTTAAGCTGATCGGTTGATTTTAATTAAATCCCGTTGTTTTTTCACCAATCTGATCAGTTTGTTAAAGATTTTTGCACTGTTAGCACGCTATAGATTATATGATAAAAACCGCTGTGAACTTATTTAATTATCAGAATTATAAGAACACATTAGATAAATCGATTTTCAACAACTCAACTACAATCTACATGTGAAGATTTTAGCAGTTCTTAAGCACAGAATTTTGAAGAGAGTGAAATTTCTTTCTTAATTAAAACGCCACGAACGCTTTCTTTTGCTTTATCGTCTCATAAGTATGTATCGTAGTAACACAATTTATTTTTTATCAGTGAAAATGAAGCAATCTGATTGGCTGAGAGCCTTTCAGAGCGGGCCGGTTTTTTGCATCCGGCCCGCTCTGAAACGCAACTGCCCGTTGTGAAATGCAACTGCCCGCTCTGGCTTTCGCGACAAAAACTGAGGAGTGAAACAATTTTTTAACAGAACAAATCTGCCAAAAACGTTTGAAAAACATAGCCTAACGATAGTCAGAATACAAAAATGAATTGCATCAAGCCCTAAAGACTTCATACTAAGCACGATGTTCACCAGAATTGACAATATTTTGATAGAAATGCGACTGAAAGTCGGAAAATTATTCGACATGTATAAAAGTTACGTCGAGAAAGCTACATATTTTTTAAATGCTCATGTATTCGGCCACTTAAAAGGGAAAAAATTACAGCTTAAACAGTTATTGTAAAATAAATGTTTTCCCATTTAAAAAAGTTTTATTTGCAGCAGTGAAAACAAGTCACGAATATATTCTCTACCCATTTGTGTCATACATTCTTCACTGATATAAATATTGTAAACAAAGTAAAAGTTTGTGTTTAAATTAAAAACAATTTTTTCAAGCATATTATCGTGAAACGACAAGAAAAAATACAAAAATATAAAAACAACATACCCTTTTCATTGACCTTTTAGTAGAAAAACGTTGATTAAATGAAAACAGATTCATTTTTATATGTTTTTGATCTGATCTGAACATGAACTTGTCGTTGTCAGGAGCAACTGATTTTGTCAAAGCCAAAGCCAAAACGCCAGGCATATAAGTTTTTATTCCAAAGCTTCTCTTCTATACCATATTCATGAAAAAAGCATGTACATTTTTACTGAAACTATACGTCTTTTTGTGTGTTTCTTGCCAGTTTTCTCGAGTTTTCGTATCGTGTTTTATATCATTCAACTTTTCAAATTTCAATTTTTGTCAGCCTCGCTTTGAAAATACACAACTGCACTGATCTCAAATTAGTTCGCAAGCAACACTGGAATTTTAATTAATTTAATTTTTACATCTGATAAAAAATAAACACGTTATTTACCGGCAGCGTCGGTCCGGATGAGAAAAACTGTGCCCTCGGTCTTGAAAACGTCCCTCGCCCTTCGGGCTGGGGCCGTTTTCAAGACCTCGGGCACAGTTTTTCTCATCCGGACCTCGCAGCCGGTAAATAACATATATATATGATAATTCCGATTAGCCATCAAATTAAGAAAACCGAACAGGAAGCGGAGGGATGAGCAAATAGCCCAGAAAGGCTGGCAACAATAGCGTAAGAAGTCACGTACCCTTGGGAATGTTATGTGCATGTGCAGAAAGTTGGATAGTTTAGTCACAGCATAGCAGGGCCGGATTAACGTTCCGCGGGGCCCGTGGCATATTATCAGCGCGGGGCCCCTTGACGCCCCGCCCCCCAACCGTCCAACGGCATTTTAGACACTGAATTCATTAAGATTAAAAAATATTCTCATGTATTTCATGCGTTGAAAAGTTTCCTGTGTATTTACAAACAAAAAGAATTATACATCAATAATTTGATCGAACTGAATTTCAACCCAGTTTATACCATTAACATAATAATAATAATAATAATTTGAGTATTTAAATATAGCGCTAGTTTCATCTATCACGGAATATTCTAAAGCGCTGTACAATGATAAATTTACAATAACTAAACTACTGTATACTCTAAAAGGCTGGGTATTAACAATCTTATATAATTATCCTAAAAATTAAAAACAGTATATATATACACTAATAATTCTTAAAAATAGTCTATTTATACGCCTAATTCCTAAATAGAAATGTCTTTAAATGAGTTTTAAAACAGTTAACAGTTTCACACCGCCTAATGTTAAGTGGGAGAGAGTTCCAAATTAGAGGAGCAGAGCATGCTTAAATGATCTATCTCCAAAAAGTGTTTTTGCGTTTGTTTTGGGAATCTGCAGCAAAGAACAATCATCTGACCATAAATGGTGATTTCCTTCAGGTTTAAATGACAATAGATCAGCAATGTACTGAGGTGCCATTCCATTGAGAGCTTTATAAACTAAATTAATAAGGCAATTTTGAAGTCCACTCGAGACTTTATTTTTCATGGTAACCAATGAAGATGCATTAGAACTGGAATAATATGAGCAGTCCTAGGTGTAAAACATATCATTCTTGCAGCCGCGTTGAGAACTCTTTGTAAGCGTTAATACCGATACTGAGGAATCCCAAACAATAGAGAATTACAGTAGTCTAGATGTGACGTTATAAATGCCGTGCACAAGAGTTTTGGTCGCCTCCTGAGAAAGGAACTCCTTATTTGTCTGATGTTATATAAACCTCTGAATGCTTTGCTGCATACCTTTCCTACGTGAACGTCCATGGACATGTTTTTTATCAAACCAAGCACCCAAATCCCGAACACTTTCCGCTGGTTTGATATTCACATCGCCTACTCGTACAGAGTTAATTTCTATCTTCTTAACTGTTGGCGGGTGCCAATTATTAAAAATTCTGTCTTAAGTTCGTTGAATTTTAATTTTTGGGAAACCAACCAGGCGCGAACCTCAGTTATACATGCTTCGACAACCCTGACTGCATCATTGTGACAAACAGATAACTCAGGACAAAACGATAAATACAGTTGGGTATCATCAGCGTATCCGTAGGAAGATGGTAAATGCTTTTTAATAATTTCAAATAATTTCGATACACCCAGACAGCTTCTTGCGGAACTCCACAGGTCACGGGAAAACTATTTGAGAGCACTTGGTTTAGAGAAACAAACTGGTTTCTGTCTGACAGAAAAGATTTAACCATCCAAGCGAGTTAATTACCACTGACACCAAAATTTGATTTTAATATTTCTAACTACATGATTTCGTGGTCCACCGTATTAAAAGCCGCACTCAGATCGAATAGTACAAGTAGCGTTACCTCTCGTTGATCCATGCTCATTAAAATATCGCTTTGAACTTTAACAAGAGCCGTCTCCGTTGAGTGAAATGGGCGATAAGCTGATTGGTTAGTGGGAAGAGGTACATTATCTTCACAATGGTTAAGTATCTGACCGACAACTGCTTTTTCCGCAATTTTTGACACGAATGAGAGGTTATTTACAGGTCTAAAATTTTCAAATAAAGCTTCAAGACCAAGTTTCTTTAATATAGCTAAACATGATACCGTCATTTCCACAAAATTCAGCATGCAATCTTTTAGTATTTATAACTGTTCACTGCAAATTTTGATATTTTCTGACCCCTATGATTTTTTGGCCTCGCTCTTTGGAGCCCCTTGCCCAGAGAGGGAACAAAAAAATTTGTTTGCGGCCCTGCTTTTGGAGCCTCGCTTTTTAACTTTGGGGCCTCGTGTTTTTTTATCTGAGGGCTTCACTTTTGGCCCTGAACTCTATGGGGCCCCGCGCTGTTTGGATCCTGCGCTGGAACAGGAAACAAACGTTTCGGGCCCGGCTATTTGGGGCCTCGATTTTTAAATTCTAACGCGCTGAAACACTGAAACAGAGAACAAAAAAAGCGTTTGGACCCAGCTTGATGGGGCCTCGTTTTCTAAATTTTGAGGCCCTCACGTTTTCTGGGGGACTTGGGCTCTTTAGGACTCCGCACTGTTTGGGTCTCGCACTGAAACATGGTACAAAAGAATTCGGGGAAAAAAATAGAAGAGAGTAAGCGCGGGGCCCCCAAAAGCGGGGGGCCCGTGGCATATGCCGCTTCTGCCATATGGTTAATCCGGCACTGCAGCATAGGGAGACAACAGTAAGGCCATTAGCATCAAAAAGTGTCCGCATTGTTTACTGGCTGCCAACCTAGCTAATGAACACATTGGCAGCCAGGAAACGGCAGCAGTTCACCATAAAATTGTATTGCCGAGAGTAAATTGGTTTAATCGCGCAAGACGTCTGGGACCTAGCTTAAGAAATTCCCACTTTTGTCTCACCTGAGGGGACCTATTGGTTGTCTGTTTAGTCTTACCAAGCTGATACGTGGAATTAAGAAAGCACGGTCTAGACAAGAAATGAAGGATTCAACGACACTGTATGGCCTATCCCATACATAGCTACTTGCTTCCGAACGTCGAAATCTTAGAGTTATTTATGGCTCAAAGACAAGCACCGGCTGACGTCCCACCGCCACAAGTTCCGCCTGTGCCCGTGGTTTCGGATGCTCATGTTGGCGAGCAGAATGCTGAGACTCAACCGCCGATACAGGATGTTGCAGAGAGACAGTTTGTATTTCTTTGCTTTGTTATATCACTGTAGCTTCATGTTAATGCTGGCATTTGTATGCCGTGGCAGTGTTTTTCCATATTGTTGTTCGTTATGGTTCCCCCATTCTCATTTGAATTCCTTTGTTTCTGTGCTTCATTCAGTGCCGTAGTCCATGTCTACGGTAAATAGAACTATTTATTTTTGAATTTTTCAAAATATCAGATTCCTGCTCCACGCACGTGTCCGCAAATTTGGTCAACGCTTGGTGTGAGTATGCATAGCCACCCGAGAGACTTTGGTAAAACCGGGTGGGAAATTGTCACCCGAGAGAGTTTAGTTAACGCCGGGTGAGACTATTGCCACTCGAGAGACTTTGGTAAAGTTGGTTGAAAATTTCCACCTGAAAAGGATTAGTTAAGGCCAAGTGAAAAAATTGACACTCTAGAAGGTTTGGTTACTGCCGGGTGCGACTAAGTAGCCGTCCGCAAATTTGTGTTAGAAGCCGGGGGAAGGTTTGTCATGCACTCAAGAAAATGTGCATAGTTCGGTTTGTGAATCAATGGCACCACACGGGAAATTGTATAAACTGATGCATTTTTTTTTCGTTTAGGCGGTACCCCGATGGCGAGCGCGTTCCTGCAGGAGTTGCAAGCAAAAGATTCCGGCCCTCGAGACCCAGCTTAATGCGGTAGCCATGCAGGTGGCTCGTGCCACTCCGCGGTTGGAGAATGGCCACATTATTGGAACTGTGTGTAGTGGATTCTGAGTTTTGGGAGGGACATGGATAGTGTTCATGGGTTTGGAAAATAGTGTGAGTTATTCGGGGCTCTAGAGAGTAAAATCATGATTATATTTGTGTATGTTAAAAATGGTTGCCCGGAATATTTTAGGGAGAAGAAGCGAAGACAGTGTATTCACGAATTTTATTCCGACAACTTAGTCCCTCCGTGTGCTATTGAATTTTGATAAAGGCTAATGAGAATGTTGGCATTTATCATTTACATAATACAAAAAAAAAATATTAAACGTCGCCACGCTCTCTTGACAACTTCAATATACATAGCGTTTGAAGCCGTACGTGGCAGGTAGAAGATTCTCGAAACTTGATTAAATTAATATGATTGCTGTTTAAATACAGGGCAAGATTTTCAAACAATCTTGTTTTTCAAAATGTTTGTTCGCCGTCGTTCATGTTGCTGTCCTCTCTATTTGCATATAAAAAATCATTGTTACTCATGTCCACAATATTGGCATGCACTTGGTATTAGAAAAATTTGACGTCGTGTGGAGATAATGTTTTAGTGTTTCAGCGCCGTGTCTGAGCAACGAAACTACGTTGCTAATCGGTCGATATTGTAGTAGTTGTCGACAAAATGGCAACATCTGAATCCAGTCCACTGAAGGTGGAGCAGGAAGCGACAACGGAAACTGATTATTCGGATTTGGATAAGATTTCAACGGAAATGGAGCAGGAATTAGATGCAACGGAAAATAGTGATTCGGACTTGGACGAGATTTCAACGCAGGGTGTTGAAGTAAACATTGCTATAGTTGGAAAAGCTGGAAGTGGTAGATCAAGTTTTGTTAACGCCATAAATGGGTATGTATGAAATTCTTGTAACCTTGCTTCGAGGCTTCATAGTATTAACTCAAACAATAGTTCATATATATACTTTGAAACGTTATAATGCAGTTGTATTTTCAAGTATTCGATTCGTATAATTTAGTTATATTGCTGTTATGACCAGAACTACACAGTCAGTGTTTTCGGTCTTATGTTATTATTAAACGGTGAATTATATTTCACTGGATATGTTTCACTTTCACTTTGAGTTTCATAGAGATACTGAAGCGTGACGAGTATAGTGTCATAGTTATATGCTAAATAAGGTTGTGTTTTGTATATTATAGTAATTCGTTTCAAGACAGTTTATGATGCAAGGCTCAAGTCATTCTAACTGTTATAAAAAATTAAATTTACAAGTAATTATGGCCTGTTCATATGAACCGGGCTGGCCCGTGCATGAGGTTCCATAATGCTCGTGATTTGTGCAAACCCTGCCTCGTCAGCAGCTAGTCAATTAATCCAACATTACATCGATCAACAATTTGAGATTCACCAAAACTAAATGTTTGCCATTATATAGATATGCATTATTGTTTATTTAAAGAATATGAAAGAATTCATGGTTTCCAACGACTGGCTAATAGACAACGGTGAAATCGTTACATTAACTCAATGACAATGGCTCCAATATATACAAAAGAACTATTGTACGATTTAAGTCACCCAGTGCATTATAAAAAAAATACTGTACGTTATGACGTTTTCAGTGCTAATAACAGCATATAAGGATAGCGAGCTACTGTTTTCATTTTATAAATAAATATAAAAACAGTTAGTAAGCTATCAGTGTTTGTTGTCTCGATAATTCTTCATATCACGCTCGATCTTGTTCAATAATTGCTGCGTGTCTTATTTGAAACCTTGCAGGCTAGAGATATAGCAAAAGCGATCGTTTAATCAAGTTTTCAAAGTTAATGTTTCTCCTATATAACGAAAACATATAGTCCATGATACCAGTAATCATGCAGGACAAGAATTCCCAATTACAGGATTGGCACAAAATGTTCATACTCACTCATTCATTACTCTTTTTTCTTTCAAGAGAACGTGTAGGAATGGCGTCCACAGGCAACCAACCTGTTTCCTATTCTCGCTCTGCAAACCCCAACATCAATTTTTCGATACTACCCAATATTAATCAGGAAACACATCCTGCTTTCAAACGTTTCCTCGAATCTGTTGAAATTGAAAAATTTGACGCATTCCTTTTTTTCACTGCTCGGGAGTTCAATCAATGGCATTCGATATTTGCCAAAAAAGTGGAGTCCAGCAACAAGCCATTCTTTTTAATTCGAGCAAAGATCGATGGCGACATTTGTCCGGAAGAAGAAATTGACGAAGGCAAGATGATTGAGGAGATCAAGGCGGATCTTGCAGATAATTTAAAAGTGCATTTTTGTGATGGATATAAAGTCTATCTTATAAGTAATAAACACCCAGACAAATGGGAGTTTTACAAGCTTGCAAAAGCAATCGCAGATTCTTTACCTTCTCCTCAAAAAAAGTGCTTCAACAGGATTCCGAAGGACCTTAAAGAGTTAATAGTCTGGCAAGAATTTCAGAGTTTTCTTAAAGGTATCAATGCAAATTATACAGTATTTGTACGCATAACAAGTATAAGTCTACAGGCATTATTTGGTTCTGCTTATTTAAAACATTTTGCGTTATAAAGATTGTTTCGTCACTGCTTGTGTTGCTCATAGTTGCTGATATGCATGACGTCATAATAGGCGAAGCCAGGCATGATAACTTAAAATTTAGATAGCATTTTCATCAGAATATTATATTTTGGTCAAGTATACATAAGAACGTATCAATAATTTTGATCCTTTTCTGATCAACAGTTTACCGACCTTTTCTGCACAAGTTACAAAATGTTGCCAGTAAACGATATATCAGGCGATAATTCTGAAATCTTTATCATAACTTTTATATTGTCTTCCAATTTAAGTTTATTATTATATGTTGGACCCAAAACTTCACAGATCAAAGGGGTTGACTATATCTATACAAAACTGAGGTATGACTGGATGATTTTGAAAAAAGTTGATTATCATTTCCTTAACTTCTTTCTATTTAACCTCATATCATTTTGAAATCTATGCAGCCAAATTGCCCAAAGCTGGATGAAGCTGCCCAAAGTGTTGATGGCTCATTTATATGGACAAAAACTCCAATGATTTTTGTTGGTAGATCACAGTTACAAATCATTGAAGTTAAATGAAAAGAAGATAATTACTGTAATTTTCACAGTATAATATATAGTACTTACAATGTTATTTAACTCCTTTCTAAACTTTGACCCTTATTCCTATTTTAACAGCGGTGTTAACTTTGGCATAGCAATCGCTTGGCAACGACATATTTTTTAGGATATGTTCGGCAAATCTACAAATATTCATTTCACAGTATAAATCTCCGTGGCTGAGAATTGTATTTGTATGGAACAATAGAGTTATTACTATCAGTCTGCTTATATCTATTTAAAACATGGCATTTGTAAATTCCAAACGCTAATTGGCTAAGAGTCGTCGTGTAACTCGTGTTAATATAACTCAATGTCAACACGGAAGATTTATTTCTTTATATTTGTTTGCGTTATATTATAAAAAAAATATAAAACATTTTTCCGTCTTGATATACAGTTTAACTATATCGATCAATACTCGTGGAAATTGGAAAAAATTCGAAATTGTGTGAAAACCCTCCGCCCTTTTGGGCGTCGTGTTTCCACGCAATATCTCATTTTCCCATTTCACTCGTGCATGCCCAGGCTCGATTTGCCCGCGCCCACCTGTGCCTTCCTTATAACGAGGGAAGGAAGGAGACATCGAGACCAAAATAGCCCAGACTTGGCATATGCCATATGACGGTCACACGAAACTGTCCTCAATTTTTCGCTTTTAATGCATTTCGTTCACGATTAGTCGATATCTCCTGCAAGAATGATACCGTATAACTCTCAAAACAACGATGCTTTAATCAAAGAGCTTAAGTTCGCTCTGAAATCCGTGAGGGAATAACAAAATTCGGCAAAAATGTATCCGCGTGCCGGGTTTGCTGTGCAAAAAGCGGAAGTCATTGAACAACTCAAAATACACTCAACCCTGATTGGACAACGAATATCAACAAACATTTCAATTTTTTTTAACAAACACAATTGTGAAATACAATTTATTATACATATTATTAACGTACTACAGTTATATTTACATGCAGTAATATTTACACTTTTATATAACGTTTGTGAATAGTTTTGATTGTATGATTGAAATTATTACAGTACCGTTAAAAAAATTGAAATGTTTGTTGATATTCGTTGTCCAATCAGGGTTGAGTGTATTTTGAGTTATTCAACAACTTCCGCTTTTTACACAGCAAACCCGGCACGCAGATATATTTTGGCCGAATTTTGTTATTCCCTCACGGATTTCAGAGCGAATTTAAGCTCTTTGATTAAAGCATCGTTGTTTTGAGAGTTATACGGTACCATTCTTGCAGGAGATATCGATTAATCGTGAAAGAAATGCATTAAAAGCGAAAAATCGAGGATAGTTTCGTGTGACATATGCCAAGTCTGGGCTATTTTGGTCTCAATGTCTCCTTCCTTCCCTCGTTATAAGGAAGGCACAGGCGGGCGCGGGCAAATCGAGCCTGGGCCTCCTGTGGTGCATGTTGATATATAGAGGATATTAGACGGTTGCGAATGGATGGATTTTATGTTCGAGTGGCAAAAACAATATCTCACGAGTGAGCGCAGCGAACGAGTTAGATATTGTTTTTGACACGAGAACATAAATCCAATCTTCTCGCAACCGTTTAATGCTCTGTTTATTATATGGACTTACTCTGCAGGGGCCGGTTGTTCAAACGTGGGTTAGCGGTAACCCTGCATGGGTTAAAATTTAACCCCCTGTTTTGGTTTGTGTAGTTCTGCACGTTTGTTTATCTCAAAACGTTAGAGAAGTAAACGCCTATCGATCAAGACAATATCTCTGAAGAAATGTTTCCAAATTTATAGACAAGCTGTCACGAAGTTTGCTTTGAATATTAGGTTAACCTAGAGTTAAGCTAACCCAGCTTTGAACAACTGGAAAGAGTGACAAAAACACACACAAAGACGACATGTAAATAAGCGCGCGAAAGATCGGTATATATAAAAACAATATTTTTTAAAATTATAGTGCAAACATAAAGCTAGAATAAATTTTACTTATCTCAAAATGTTTTTTAAATGTTTTCAAGACAACAACAATGAAAATGGCGAGAAATTTTCGGACTTTGTATGTCACTCGTAGGGGTGAAATACAGAAAATACGCGCACCTGGTCCCGGATGTAGTGACGTATGAGTTCTACGAAAGTTTTAGTTTCCAGTGAAACACCATTGTCCATATAATAAAACTGTGTATCAATACGGAAAATATTTATATTTGTTAAATATGATCCATTTTTGCAAGCATGCATGCACTCTTAAGCCTGGTTCACACTAGCAATTTTGTCGGCGATTTTGTTTTTCTGGCGGATGCAAATGAGTGAACTCGCATACAAAAGTATAGAGTCGCTTGTATGTCATTCATTTTATCACATTTGCCAGAAGGAGAAAAATCGCCGACAGAATTGTGAACCAGACTAATTTATCGCTTATGTTATGAAAAGCAACACATAGCGATGGATAAATGGATAAATATTGTAGAAGCTGTCTATTAATATTGTCGTATTTCTGACTTATTTTTCTCTGTTTATCTAGAATGTATTGCTTAGAACGTTAAAAGCCGTGTTTATCAGCATATGTTTGTACACGTGAGGGGGTCTAGTAGATTTAATTTAGTTTATACAGGAAAACTAAACCGCTCAGTGTAAAATGTTCATGGCAACACGTTCATGACGTACAAATATACAGTGCGTCGCCCTGCGCGACCTCATAAGCAATCCCGTATATCACCCACTGCGCTACCCTAAAAATCTGGGTGGATTGGTACCTACTATACTATAATTCCATTACGCACACCCTACATAAAATGCTGCTTAATTATGTAGAGACAGACGAAAAGGAAAAGACTGCAAAAATTGCAAGGATCTTTCCTAGTGTTCGTGACATGAAACAGTTATTCTCGAAATGTGGAATTGCGGGAATGCAGCGCATGATGAATGAAAAATTGGAGGGATGGAAAAATGTTAAAATAAACCTCGCCATACTTGGAAATTCTGGTGTTGGCAAATCAAGCTTTATTAATGCCATAAGAGGGTAAGATTTTCTAGTTTGTTTTTATGGTTTGTACGTAATTTCAATTCCGTAACTAGAATTGAGCCTTCTGCATGATTAATGATTGCCAGGACCGTATCACAAAGGTACGGACCTCTCTGGTTTTCGCGCCAAACTAACAAACTGAAGACAATTTTCAAACTAAATTAAAAACCTACCCAAAAAGTTAACCAACCCCATTCTAGCGAGTGAAAATATTGTGCGTACCTAGGTGCAAAAATAGTATTGAGCTCACCATGGAATATAAGTTATTCACTGTTTTATAAACGATAATTGCGAGCTGTTGTTACGTCATAAACCGAAAAAAGTTATCATACTTGCTCTAGTTTACCCTGCTGGCAGTGGTTTCTGAGCTGAGGAGAAACCACTGCGAGCAAACGAACGACTTTTTACCGAGCATGCACGAAGAGCACGTGATGGGAAGTCACTAATTTGACTTCATTTCCTGTAGTTTGTTATCTGTAAACAAGCGTGGCCTCTGAAGCGTGGCATAGACTGTAGTACTGTTTTATTTGTTGTCTGTCAGTTTTAATCGAACGACTTTTTTAATTCTACACGCAGTTCACAATTTATGTATTTGTTTTAATCTCGGGTTAGGTTAAAATTGAAAATTCATGTCTGTTTTTAAAAAACGTTTTATTCCCGTTCCGTTCCGCATTTTAACCCCATATCCGTTTCGTTCCGCATTTTAACCCCATATCCGTTCCGTTCCGCATATCCGTTCCGGTCCGCATTTTAACCCCATATCCGTTCCGTTCCGCATATCCGTTCCGTTTCGCATCCGCTTCCGCGTTTTAGCCTAACCCTTTTAATCAGTACTAAAATATTTTGGAATCGGTGCCTCAACCTACGGCTACAAATTGTGCATTTGAATTTCTGTTATATCTTTCAGTTAAAATTTTGTATTTATCCGATCAATATCAATTTTTTAAATTCGGTCTACGAACTTTATTTGTGTTTCTTGCTTAAACATTGGAGTTTGTGATAAGGTTTTCGTTAAATTCCAATTCCCAAAGTTTCCAAATAATATAATAACGTTTCCAATTACTGTTGATTTTGACAATTATTGCAATTTTTGATCGTCGCGACCTCAACCACAGGCGGCCCAATCTCAGAATGAATGATCAGGTGTTTCGGGTTTTTAACACGGTTTTTACAAAACAACTGAATTTATAGTCAACCAAAACTATTCTAAAAACATTCTCAAATTAGTCAAATAAATACATTTTTACAATACATAGTTGACATGATAGTCCTTTGCATTCTTTTAATTACTCCATGAGCTCATTTAGAGCGGTACGGTTGATGTAACATTTTCTGTGGCCTACATTGTGTGTTGCTCCTTATATATATAATATAACAGTCAAAGGCTAATCATTGGCGGCCCGACCGCATTGCCTTCAAAGTCAAATATCTCCGCTCAAATTTGTCGTACGGCAAAACAAATTCGATTACATCTTTTCACAAAGATTTCTCTTTCTAAATAATATGGTTTGATCATAGCTTGGGCAAATTTAGCAACGAACGGAACCAAAATCTCCTCAATTTCGGATAATTCCAAAATACTTAGAGCTGCTCGGGCACGATCGTGGACGTGACGTAATCAATACATATTGACAATACCGCCTTACATGGGGTGGGACAGCATCAAGCGACAAATTATCTCGAACTTGATATGCTGTCCCACCCCGCGTAAGGCGGTATTGTCAGTATGTATATTGTCAGTAAGTATTTTGAAAATACCCGAAATTGTGGAGATTTTGGTTCCGTTCGTCGCTAAATTTGCTCAAGCTATGATCAAACCATATTATTTAGAAAGAGAATTGTGAAAAGATGCAATCGAATTTGTTTTGCCGTACGACAAATTTGAGCGGAGATACTTGACTCTGAAGGCGATGCGGTCGGGCCGCCAATGATTAGCCTTTTACTGTTATATTACATATAGATGAGCACACACAATGTAGGCCACAGAATATGTTACATCAACCACTCTATAAATGAGCTCGTGGAGTAATTATACAATAATGCAAAGGTATCATACTATCATGTCAACTATATTGTATTGTTAAAATGTATTACGTGCTTTAAAATGTTTATTTGCATATTTATTGATCAAAATCCAAACAAAATTTTCGCGCATGTGTTGAAGAAGGATGCTCTACTTCTCTGTGCATAGCGCATGAGAAAAAAACAACTTGAAATCCGATCCATTTAAGGCGGTCCTAAGTTGAAAACAGTGTCAGTTCAGTTGTAACGTAATTATCGAAAGGGTATATTACCATGAGCCGGAGGAACCAGTCGCCATGACAATGGCTTTATAAGGCGTCAAAACCTTTTGCGACATTTTTATTATGCAAAACAAGTCCTCCAGTAACATGTATAGCTCATTGGCGTGGATACACCATTGAAATGAATATGGAACGCTACCTCCAACTGGAAATTTGAAGCCAAACTTGGCCAGTCCCAGTGTTTCACGCACGCGAAAAGCGTCCAGTCAGTCAATCATGATAGAAACATGCTTGTCTTGACCTCCAGACACGCTTGTGTGCGTGTCGCGATTCGGCTTCAATTATATTCATGTCAATGTGCCGGGATACAGTACTGGGAAAATAGCGGCTGGCGCATGTGCATAATAAAAAAATCTCAGACAAAACATTTACTGTGGTTGATTTGGTGTATTTCTAATCTGTAATCATGACACGTTTCCTCCAGAACCACCCACTTTCCTCCAGAACCACCTTCGATATATGTTTAAATCCGTTGAGAAACTGGGGGGGGGGGGGGTAACACTGATCCGATTTCATGTCCAGCTTATTATTCGCAATAACTGAAGACGCAGGCATTCTTGACCGATATAATCTTCTGAATTTTGTAAAATTTCACCCAGGCTCTGAATTTAAAAGTTTTCCTGGAGGAACATGCCCCCCTATACAATGTTCGCGCCTTTGGTGCACAACTTGTCATGTCTCCCTCACATTGTTAACCATGTCTACGCCACTGGCCGCATAACCATAACGTATAGAGTCGTAGACGCGTAAATAGCAGACATCAATACTAGACTAGCTAAAGAATTAAATTACAACACAACAGGCGCTAGATTCATTCGCCGATCTTGAATCAGCTTTAAAGAATACTAAATTAACACACTAAAGACAGCATCTGCCATCAAGTATAATAATTATAACCTTGCTTCTACATTAATATCATTCTATTGATCTTACCAAACAAGAGCAAGAAGCTAGCTTTGGAAGATCTTATCAAGAAAGATGATTATCAATGTTTTAAATCGAACAATCCTAACAAGCATTTCTGGCAATGCTAAAAATTAGTATAAAATGGCCGGTTAAGAATTTTAAAACAGTCGTGAGGCCTTTTTAAGCGTACTATGCAAACTTCGCGTTACTTACCTAACTAGCTAAACAATACTATCTCGCTATAGAATAAGCTTTCTCGGTTGATAAAACACTGAAAAGATAGTGAAATCCATACTATGGACATGCAATGGACCAATCCCATGCATATTGATCAAAATTTTGATCTCTAATAGCCTAAACAAAAATTTTATCACAGCTTGAAAGAGCAGCACAAAATTAGTAATATTCCAAAGTTAATTTCGTTGCGCAATGTCGTAAAATGTGGATAATATAGAGGGTCCTGAAGGGGTAAAATGGGAACTGGGATTTGCTTATTTTTGGGTGGGAAAATGGAATTTCATGCACTGGGACTGGGATTCATCAGCACTGAAAAAACAATAGAAAATGGGAATGGGATTAAGATTTGCAGAGCAGGACAGCCACTGAGATGATGGGATTTAGTCAAAATTTGGGCTGTATTACGCACGAAAGTGGTAACCATTTCCATTTGTGTCATTTGTAATTTAAAATGACTGAAATTGCAAATTTTGCAGGGTTATATTATCCGCATTTTACAACATTTCGCAACGAAACTTTGGAATATTACTAATTTTGTAATGCTCTTTCAAGCTGTGATAAAATTTTTGTCAAGACTTGTTGAGTTCAAAATTTTGATTAATGTGGGATTGGTCCATTGCAAGTACGAAGACTGGATTTCCATACCCATGGCCAGAAATCACGGACATGATTTATTCTACTTCCTTGCATATCACGTTGAAATTATATGGCTTCTACAGTAAATACCGCACTATTGCCACTAGAAAGAAACAAAAATGCAGAGTAGGCAGTAACTTACACGATATATTTCAACAGACCGTGTACAGCCAGCAATCGGGGCAAATTGCAAACGACCTACTATATTTCTGATTTTGCGATTTAAAACATCGTGTAATATAATTTACTGTTTACTACCGCGAAGCCATATTTCAACGCCGGGTTATGTATTAATGATATGCAAATTGGCAAGGAAGTAGAATAATCATGTCCGTGATTTCTGGCCATGCATTTTCAACGAAGATCCATGCTACTTAACAATTAGTCGCCTCAGGCTCCGTGATTACAACCTACACAGCAAAAAATCATTTTCTTATTAAGAAAAAAATTCTTAATTTAAGAAATTATTTCTTAAAACGAGAAACGGATTTTCTTAATAAGAAAAGATTCTTAAAATAAGAAATATTTCATTGGCAAGATATTTTTTCTTGAAATAAGAAAAAAGATTATTAACATATCTTGGTTTAAATTTGTTTTCTTAAACCAAGAATGTATTTTCCTACGATTTTTCAACTTCATATCAATCATTTTCTTAAGAAAATATGATTTTCTTGTTTTAAGAAATACTTTCTTAAAACAAGAAATCAAATTCTTATAATAAGAATTATATTTGTTTTCTTAAAACAAGAATATGTTTTCTTACGATTTTTTCATCTTCTTATCAATAATTTTCTTAAAGAAAATATGATTTTCTTGTTTTAAGAAATAGTTTCTTAAAACAAGAAATCAAATTCTTAATTAATTAATTAATTAATTAATTAATTAATTAATTAATAAGGTGGTCATTCCCTTTAAATTGTGAATTTTTAAGAAAAATAATGAAAAAAAATTTATACTCTAAATAGGTACATTAAGTATTATACTTTAAGATAACATGTGTCTTTTGCCTACAAAAATCCTTATTTTTGAGAAAATAAGGCATCAAGAGGCTTTTTTTTTAAATCTCCTCCATAGCAACGCCTTAGCAACGTGTTTTCTTTCCAAATTTGCATGATTATTTCACTCACAAAGAGATTTTTTTAAATTCAACTTTTGATGTATGTTATTTAAAGCAATGCTGGCAAATCTCTTTGTGATTGGTGCATTTTTGTCGGCATGACAACGCACTGACTTTGCCAACCTCGAGGTCGAGTTCTCAGCAAGCTGTGTTAAATTTGTCGTAGAAAATCGCTGTTTTTTTGCGTTTATAAGTCGAAACGTTTCTCTAAAAGTTTAGAATTACCAGTCTTGTGTAGTTCTGGTTGAAATTCGAAATAAACAGATGGGAAATTCAAGAAATCGATCAAAAAAAAAGCGAAAGATTCCACCGTCAAGGAAACGATTCGTAGTCCAAGATGGCGAACAAATGTATAAAGATCCTGGCCCCTCTGCGAAGAAGATTGGCAAAAATACAGCAGCGCTTCGTAATATGTCGAAAGTTATTGATCATAATTTAAAAGAAGGAACTATATTTATGGATTTATCCATATTATTCAATGTTTTTGATGTCTTGAAATGCCCAGATTGTGGTGGTGATATCGACTCACATGTTGACTTGAAAAAGAAATGTGGATATTCAAACTACATTGTGTTAGAATGTAAAAATATGGAGTGTGGCTGGAAATATTCTTTTAATTCCTCAAGAAAACAAGGTCGTTCCCATGAAGTGAATGTCAGAGCAGTCCTGGCTTTTAGGGAAATTGGCAAAGGACATAATGCCATGACTACCTTCAACAAGGTGATGAATATGCCTGCTCCACCCACCCGACGGAACTTCACAAAAATACAAAACGAGAAAGTTTTGCCAGTTGTGCAGAAGTTGGCTAATGATAGCATGGTCAACAATGCTTATAACATCAGAGATGACAGTGGAAATGATGATAGAGAATGTGGAGTGTCGATTGATGGGACATGGCAGAAGAGAGGATATTCGTCGCACAATGGGGTTGTTACGGTGATCTCCTTGGATACACAGAAATGCCTGGATGTCGAAGTGCTATCAGACAAATGTCAGCAATGCCAAAAGTGGGGGAAAAGGATTCAAGATCCAAGGTATAATGCATGGAAGGCATCCCACAAGTGCAAGATCAACCATGAAGGAAGTGCTGGTAGCATGGAAACAGCTGGGGCTGTTAGAATTTTTGAACGGTCGCTTGATACGCGAGGGCTGAAGTATACCAAAATGCTTGGAGATGGTGATTCCTCTACCTACAGCACCATTGTTGAAAGGGAGCCATATGGGGAGGATTGCATTCCAGAGAAATTGGAGTGCATTGGCCACGTTCAGAAGAGAGTCGGAAGTCGTTTACGGAAATTGAAGACTTCTAGCAAGGGATTGAAATTGGCTGATGGCAAAGGCTTGGCTGGTAAAGGCAGACTGACAGATGCTAAAATAGACATATTGCAAAACTATTATGGTCTGGCAGTCAGAGAAAACCTGGATAGTGTTGAGAATATGGCCAAGTACATTGAAGCATCTCTTTACCATGTTGCGTCAACTGCCGAGAATCCACAGCATCATCTTTGCCCAGAAGGAGAGGACAGTTGGTGTGGGTATAACAAAGACAAGGAGGGATACAAGCACAAGAATGGAATTCCAAGCTGCATTGTTGAGCTGATTAAGCCTATATACAAGGACCTTAGTAATCCTGTCTTGTTGAGTAAATGTACCCATGGCTTGACGCAGAATGTCAACGAGTGTCTAAACGGGATGATCTGGGATAGATGTCCAAAGACTGTTTATGTTGAGCAAGAAACTGTGGCTCTTGCCACTTACCTGGCCATCTTAAAATTTAATGATGGTGACATTTCTTTGTTGAAGTTGTTTTCTGACCTGGATATAACTCCTGGTATATTCTCCGGTAAAGGCGCTGAAGATTCCGACGGTTCAAGAATTAAACTGTCGGCAAAGAAGAGCACAGAGAAAGTGAAGAACAGAAGGAAATTATTGAGACACCAAAGGAAACACTATGTTGACAGTCTTGAAGACAAAGAAGGTGTTTCCTATGAGACAGGTGCATTCTAGGCAACAAAATAATGAACAACAACTTTGAAACACTATTTTCTGAATTTAACAGTTTTGTCGGTACATTAAGTTTTTGAGATAGCATAATTTTTTGAATATTTATTGTGAGAGGTTGAAATTTGGTATATTTATAGCCATTAACATAATCTAGTGCCTGATCATTTTTATTTTCAATATACTTCATTAAAGATGCATAAATGGAGTTTAATTATCTAATTAGGCATAAAAAAATGCTTTTTTCCTAATATTTGGATTGTTTAGAATTTTTTTTTGGTAAAATTGTTTAAAAGTGAAAATAAAAATGGTCAAGCACTAGAACTTGTTATAAGCTTTCCAAATATATGTCATTTATGTTGTTCTGATTAATTGTGTCTGCTGTATCTGGATTCATGCGACGCCATTTTTTGGCTAATTAGTCGGCGGCCATATTGGATAATTAGTGTAATTAATGAGTAACCAAATTTTTTTTTAAAATTTTTTATTTTAATCACTGTGCACCTTCAAAAAATGTTTTTGCAAAGTTTTTACCTTGTAAAATAAAAAAAATTGCTCTGAAGGGGAATGACCACCTAACATAAGAAATTATTTCTTAAATGTTCTTGAACGGAAAGAAAATTTAAAATTTGTTAAAATTTAACTACAGGAACTATAGAATGGCATTCAATTCTGGTGTTTAAAGACATATATAACATATTTTGTATATAGATTCATTTTAATTGTATAACCCTTATTTCTAGAATAATCTGCATATGTATTACAGGGACCCAACCACGTTCCATACACAGGGACCACGGAGCCTGTTTTGAAGTGTGTGTGTGTGGGGGGAGGGGCAGGATAGCACGGACAATAGCTCACCCAGGCAGGCTGGATTTTATACGGCCATGGCCCAGGCCCACGCCTTCCCCTGTTCCGCGGTCCCTGCATTTTTGCATGCTCAGGAGAGAATTCGCAACTCGGAATTAATTGCGGCTGATTAATTAAACATAAGAATTCTCCTCTATCGTAGTATCTTTGTTAATTAATTTGTTAAGGGGGGGGGTACACATGGAATCATTTAAAATCATTTTTTGAGCTAAATAGTTACTGTGTGTTTTTAACCACCTCACTATAATTTTCAGCTTGGTTGCCATGGTAACGAAAGGCAGAATCCTTCATATTTTTCATGTTTTTACCAATATACTGCTGTCCCTCCCCTCCCTAATATAAAATAATGATACAGGCTCATCTCTAGATGATTTTGCAGCGGATTTACGTGGCGATTATGCGCATAGATGCGTTTTTTTGAGAACTAGTGATTCAAACAGAACAAACTCGAAAATGTGTTCCAATATTTAATAAATATTGATCACTTTTGTGTATATATTTCTTAACATATGGTTGAAAATAACTAATAATGGTTCACAGAAAACATTAAAACGAAACTTTATTCACTGGGGTGAAGAAATGCACTATAAAGACGACGATAAAACGTGAACACATTCAGGCAATAATCGGCCATTATTTCAAATATGGGCATTCAATGCCAAATATTAACAGTCATCTTCGATTTGGATTCTTGGGCATCTTATAAACAGATCTTCAAACGTTTGTTCTGATGAACTTAAAAGTTGTGGATGTACGTATTTTTCTATCATTGAATGATTGATTCTAGTATACAATAACTCGAAAATGTTAATTAATAATATAATTAGTAATTATTGCAAATTTGCAATATTATGATATCAAGAGATCGATTTTCTCTACCCAATTTTGGTACAGATATCAATACATTATTTCTTGCTTCATTGTTATAATTACATGTCAAGGTGTACCAAGTTTGCATGAGAGCTTGTTTTGGGACGAATATGTTTACCGAGTGTACCACTTGCAGCAATAGGATAAGAATACAGTTACAGACAATGTTATCTTACAAAATCATGTAATTTGGTATTGAAAATTGATTCACGCATACAAAAAACTGTGGTAAATGTTGGTCTGCATGTTCCTTTGGTAAGCACGATGAGTGGAGTGTGCATCTCATTAAGCGGCAAGCTGTTACAATGTTTCTACCCGCCTAAGGCGCAAGCAATATGGCGAATATGTGATTGAATTCAAGAGCTTTCACCAAAATGGCAATATCTCGGAAACAGTTGCATAAAAAAATCTGATCTTTTCAACCAAACATTAGTGATATATGATTGACCAAATTTAGTTTAAATGACTTTGCATACCTACATATATCATTAGTTTTTTCAATGAGAATTTTTATTTGTAAGGCAGTGACACTTTGTTTTTCATGTCACTCATCACCTAAAGGGGCAATATCTCCATAAATTTATATAAAAACCAAAAAAAAATCATTTACTAAATTAGTACATATCTATATTATAACCAATTTTCCTCTTTTGGGATATGAATTAGAAAACGATCAAAAATTATAAAAAATACTCATTTGGTTTTTTTGGGCAAGATATTTACAACACGAAATTTAGAACAGTAACTAAGTGTTCAAATTCAACAAAATGTGCAAGCCAAAACACAGTGCTTGTTCATCTTTGGAGTTTTTAATTACCTCAAATATATTTAAAAGGACATATGGTACTAGAATTTATTTATTTTCAATATAAACCAAGGATGGGAAGGTGAGAAAATAGGAACTTTCTGAGGTGTTTTTAACACAGACAATGACAGCCGACATTTTCAAAGGCAAATTGCGGTGACAAAACCAAAAGTTATTCACTTCTCTACTCAAAGCACTGAAAAACACCATAAAGAGAAAAATATTTTAAACATACATCAGGTAAGCCTTTTAGCTCAATTTTCTCATGTTTCTGTTTGGAAAGAAACGGTTTTTAGCCAAAATTATTTTGCGCGCCAATGTAGGCTGCTATAAAATGTCAGACACGCGTTCTCTTTTGAAGTCTGGCTCTGAAAAACAATCGCTTTTTTTAGTTTGAAATAAGCTTTCATAAGGACTAATTGTGTAGAAATGTTATCTGTATGCTCAAATGAAAAAGATAACCTAATAGTCAGGTATTCAACATAGCTATAAAAGGGTGAAATAAGGACTTTCATCTTTGGTTGTTTGTCAGACATGAGAAACCACATTAGTGCCATTTTGTCGCGCGTGCTATTTTATAAAATAAACACCTCAAAACCATAAACTTTTAGTTCAGAAAATAACAAAGTTTCCCATACACATTAGTAAAAATGTTCTAGTGAAGCGATTTCATGATAAATAAGTGAGCTATGGGCCCAAAAGAACTGCTAAACTATGTTTTTGTTAGGACTTCAATTTCATGGCTTCCCGCAAAGGAAGCCATTTCAGAGAGAAGCGGCATTTTGCAAGCAACGGTCGCGACCTATTTTTGATAACTTTTCCTTCTGATTCAACGTGTAGTTACTAGAAAATGAGGTTGCATCAACATTATTATCTGCTTTATCGATTTAAAGTTTTATGGGGATATAAAACCCAATAGAAAATGCGTTTTAAAAGCTTTAGAACTCAAGTGCAGACTTTTTGAAAATTCGCACGCGGCCAGCAAGCGCACTAATTCAATACACTTATTTTAAACCACAATATGTCTGAAACGAGTTGTCGTTTTAAGACTAAATTAATGAAAATAGATATAACAGTGATTTTGGAGTATCCTACTTACTTACTGTAATTTAATACTCGAAGTATTCTTGCCAAAAAGGGCACGTACGCACATAGTAATTTAATCTGGTGTCGTTTGAAACATACTTTAGCTAAAATAACAACTTGAACAAGAAGACCAACAATGGGGTTACGAAAACAGTCGAAATTGTGTCCAAATTTGCATAAACAGTTCGTCTAAAAAGATAACTTTAAACTAGATTCAACCAACTTTAATACGGTCGAATTTTGTGAGTGTTTGATCGCATATTTCTACTCAAAAATACCCTTAAAAATATCGTATCTGCTCACTTGAGTTCCGTGTTCATCTTTCTTGTGATTTCCGACTTCTACTTTTAATAAAGTTTGGAGAAATCCTCATCTTTTTGGCTGAAAATCTCGCGGATGGACACTTGGCCCCAAAACGTCAATACATTCGCTTTCCTTTCATGCCAAATTTTCGTTGTAAATGATTCAAAAACCTCTTCTTTCTTCGCTTTTAAAACTTGCTGTAAAACCATTTTTTGCAACAGTTTCGCCATTGTTCATTATTTTTGAAAAACTAAGGTTTTAAACTTGAAAAACTTTGCGAGTTTTTGGCCGATTTTCTTGCATGATACACCGTTGAAAAGCTCGAATTTCACGTTCTATTTTCGTATCCGTTGCTAGGCAACCCGATAAACACGTGCTCAAATATCATGCCCGCAAGTTAAGGAGTCATGTTAGGGCGCATTCCGGCGCATTGCCGCTTACCCCCTTGCCAATCTCAGGGCGCATTCGGGCGCATTGCCGCTTAATGAGTAAACATCCTTGTTACCAGCAAGAGGGTTCGGCAAAGAAAACTATGGAAAATTTAGCTATACCAATAGAGTCATTTAAGTTAACACACAGGAACATCTTTTAAACCAAACATCAAACTGCAGGAAAAACTAAGTTTGCTCTTAAAAGACAAGAAACAGGTCAGAAAGTCTAACCGCCAGACATCTGAAAAAACAACAGACGTCGACAGGTGGAGCAGCTCCAAAAGAAAACTGAGAGAAGAAGCTCTATGAGAAGCAGAAGGGACAACCTATGAGGCTGGAGGCTTCTGAAGTGCTAAAAGTACTTCTAATGACAAAAAATTAGGCTAAAGTCCCTGAAACCTGTCAGGAACAGCTCGAACAGTTGTTTAAAAACTTTAACACTTGTTTTCTCGGAATGTACATTTTCCGTCTTTGAGAAAAGATATCTCATGATGTATTTAACCAATTGTCCTGAAATTTTCAGGGCTTATTCTTTTATTAGAGCTGTCTTAATTAAGCATAGGAAATTTCTGTATCTTGTGTAGAATACATTTTATGGAAAAAATATTATCGAAAAAACCTATGTTAACTTTGTACCTCTGCTGTGACCACTAGATTTATCATACAAAAAAGTTCTATGCTCATTTAAGATAATGATGCCTATACTACTTACTGATAAAATTTCTTAAAATTCCAAGCAATTTATAAGCAGATATCTTTTCTCAAATGCACCCTAGTTTTGCACAGCATGTGGTATGATTGCCGGCCTGGTGTCAGGTTACAAAGGACGTTAGGTACTAGTGATTAGTATTTTTAGTTTCTATAGGTCATAAGCTTTCTACTGATATATAGTTTGTCATAACTCTGGTGAATATCTTTAAAATTACAGCCATTTCAAAAATGGCCATCAATCCATGTGTACCCCCCCCCCTTAAGTTAAATCTAGGATGGATTTACTGGGGGGAGGTGAGGTGTGTAAAGAAAAGTCAAGAAAGGGGTCCCAATTTCCCCATCTCGGGGGCCCCGGAATGCTGGAATTGTGGAACTTGTTAAATATTACCGAATATTCTGAAACATTGAGGTCGAAAAAGGTCTGAAAAAGAAAGTTGATTTTGAGGTGCCCCCCAACCGCTCTCCTAGATCATGCTGGATCCATCCCTGAGGTAAATTTGCGAAAAATATTGTGTTTTATTTTTATTAAAATGCTACATTTGCTCCCCTCCTGCAGGAAAGAAGATATCTTTCACCTGCATTCCGTCGCCCCCTGATACCATACTATACATTCTAATTTACATTCTAAAGTTTGAATTTTTCTCGTGTTTTATTTAATAATTGCAGAAAATTTTCTTCACATTTTCTTCACGATAATGTATTATAGATAAAATTAACAGTCAATAACTGATTGAAAATGCAGACATGCAAGTAGCAATAGTTCGCGCATTGCCTGGGGGCCTGGTGCCTAGTTAACGTATCAGAGCGTGAAGGTTCATGGGATAGCGCAATCTCGTTCCCCGAGCCTGCGATCCTCGGGAAGGAATCGAAGGCTCTGGGATAATCCGTTACCGGAAGCCAAGAATCATGGCTAAGATTGAACTACGCATTCCATTTCAATGGCCAATCAGATTCCTCCCTGAAACGGATTATCCCAGAGCTTCGCGTTCCTTCCCGAGGATCGCAGGCTCGGGGAACGAGATTGGGGATAGCGTCGTTTCAAATTTTTTGTGCTATAAAGTGCTAACTGAATTCCAGTTCATATAAGTGGCGAAGCCAGCGTCGTGTGAGTGGTCATGCAAACGAGCGCCGAAGGCGTGAGACATCCTAGGGGGGTCCGGGGGCATGCCCCCCCGGAAAATTTTTGAAATATATACCCCAGAAACGCCATTTGCAGCAATCTGAGCATCCAATTTCAGAAAATATCTTGATCTAATGACGGGAAAATATGTGGATATTTTGGCATATTTCAGACAACAATAATGAAGATCGACACAAAAATAGGAAATCTGTGGTCTGCAGTTCCGCTAATTATAGTCATACCGGCAATTGTGCATTTCTTTTCGATCAGAAAATATTACATGCATGTTCTGTATTATCATAGTCTGTATAGACTACCTAATTGCTATCCCCTTGTAGTATTCCAACGTGAAGTCTGAAGAGTTTTCACATTTCCAGAACTAGATACAATTTTATCCACATATACTAACGGAATATAATGACAAATAGCTGCTAATACAGTCAGTATAATCTAGAATATAGGTATAATATGCAGGACTTGGAAAATATAACGCATGAGCCTTGATCAATTTCCTTAATTTAAAATCAATCGCCCAATTATTACAATATTACATACAGAATTAATGAATTAAGCATTATCAGATGTTGAGTAGAAGACGTAGAAGTTTTACTGTCAGTTTTATAGCCGAATTCTGCATTCATATCGATTATTGGCTATTGCCAATATTGGATATTTTCGAACGCACGGGGAGTATGTACCAAATGGTAAATACAATTTAACAATATATATTGAAATTTCTTTGTTTGTTTCACAAACAAGTATATATCAAATAAGTTGCTAAATCACTATTGCTAAAATGTTTGTGTTGCGTGTTGAAATGTATAAGCTTTGCAGCGCTATTTATAGAACTACATTGTTTACTACATTGACCTCGACATTGACATTGTATTTCATATAATAGCGTTCGATGCTTTATACGCCTATACTCGGGTTGAAGGCTTAAATATTCAAGACAAAGTACATGTAACAATAACTAAATATTTAGGCTAAATAATTACTTATATTTAGCCTAAGCCTGACTGGCTAAGCCATTCTTTCTTTGAATACCACGACATTTGAAGACCTTCCCGATCGGGCATGTCGAAAGATCTGGCGTTTGTCTCTGCTTATAAACAATAATATTCTGCTCAGCAGAAAATGGTTTCTTCACCAATTCCCAAACAATATCGTTAGCTTCGAGTAAAGAAGAAGTCGACATGCTTGAATGACCTGAAGACGTGTTCATTCAGGCTGAAAGCTTCGAGCTAAGAGGCTGTGATCAGGTTGTGTTGCCCGTTTAGTCATGCAAATCGAAAATTGCATGACCAAGGCGTCAAAAACAGCCTCATTGCGCGTGCGCGAACGTCGTAAGCCAATCAGAAACCAACAAACCTAATATAAAATAATACAGCTAGTCATGAAATTTTGAAAGTGCATGACCAAAACACACAGCGAGCAAACCACGCAGCAATCATACGCAATCTTTTTCCACGCGCTTACGCAACCGGTCATGCATGTGAAAAATGCAGGACCGCTCAGTTGCCAAGGTAACAAAGCCAAAATCAATCAACATACGAGAATATTTAGCAAGAATATCGCCTAAAGACCATTGATTTGGGTAAACAAAATAATAAATAAAATACTTAGGCGTAGAAGTGCAAAGATAAAGTATAATTCTATTGTAAACAATTATACTGAACTGATTTTTAAACATTTTGGGGGAAATTTTTAGTCATGCACTGCATGACCTGCATGACCGCTGGCTTCGCCACTGTTGATATATGTATATTAATATACTAACCGCGACAATCAAAACTTAATGTTTAAAATTGAAATTTCATTTCATTAAATTAGAGTGGATGATGGTGACAAGGAGCAAGCAGCAGAAACAGGTGTAACGGAAAAAACAAAAACACCAGCTTCCTACGGGCATCCAACCAATTTGAATATCCGTTTCTGGGACCTACCCGGCATCGGAACGCCAGATTACCCCAATCTTCCAACTTTCTGCCAAAAAGTTCACATTGAAAAGTACGATACTTTTCTGATAATCACCGCGAAGAGGTTCACAGAATATGATCTACAGTTAGCTAAGAAAGTTGAATCCATGGGAAAGTCTTTTTTCTTTGTTCGCACCAAGATCGATAACGACAGGAGATCTGAGTTGCGAAAGAAGGGATTCAACGAAGAGAAGATGCTGAAAAAGATTAGAGATGATTGTGTTGAAAATTTGAGAAACTTCAGCTTTGGCGAAGAAAAAATTTTCCTGGTTAGTAATCATAATCCAGCTAAGTGGGATTTCCATCGTTTGGAAGAAGCAATCTTGGAACAGTTGCCAGCCAAGCAGAAAGAGGCGTTAACCTTAACCATGCGCACTGACTCAAAAGTTATTTTGAGAGAAAAAATTAAACTCTTGAAAGGTATGTATGACGACATTCAAGGCAACCAGGTAAAATATCAATGAGACATGTGTTCTTCGTTACTCAGGTTTGAATAAATGAATGAACATTTGCTAAACGTTTGTACTTCAGTCTATATGTAGCGTCTAGAACAGCTCTGACGAAAGCGAAATGTTCAAATGTGGCTAGATGTTTGTAAATGCTTTCTACACTAGTATTCATGCAACCGGGAGCCGCGGAACCAGGGGGAAATAGAGGCATGTGCACTCCCCCTCCCCAACCACACTTTTTTTAAAAGGGAAAGAGCCTTTTTTCTGGGCTGCAGCGCCTTATTTAAAGCACATAAAAAGTATTTCTTGAGTGAACGCCCCCCTTTGCTGGAAGGAAAGTGCCCTTTTGCAGTAGTAAGGACTCTGTAAAGGCCATTTCCGACGTTATAGAGACCCCATATATTTTTAAAAATATTCATTCGGCTCATGAACGACATACAATTGTTTAATTTTTGGTCGTATATATAAAAGTGCCTCTTTTGGCTAATGCCCTTCCTCCCTCGCGGTCTCTGCCTGCGACATTAGGGAGCTTAAGATGCACCAAATCTGCGACACGGACGCGACTAAAACACAATCGCTAATAATGGGAGACTAGTTCTACTTTCATTTCTCGTGTCTCTGCATGGCTTTGTTTACCAACAACAATCCATAGTTTTTACCCGTGAAGTGAAAGTGTGATAATATATAGCGGCAGTTTTTTATCACGTCCGCATCGTAGATTTGGTGTATTTTAAGTCCCCTATTATTACTCCGCGAACGTACGTACCCATAATACCCCTAGTAAAAATGTACATCTTGTCAGCAAGATATGTTCGCAACAGCCCTGTAACAATCTTGCCAACATGTCCTAACGATATTGCTGTTTTGGGATGCTAGTCAGTCTAACAATTAGCCAACAAGCTGAGAACAAGAGCTGCCATCTCCAGGGATCGCGGAGCCTGTTTAAAAGTGGGCGAGAGGGGGGGGGGGCACTATCGTGCACGGGAACTATTCCACAGAGGCAGGCTGGATTTATCCGGTAATTTTTATTGTTCACCGAAAAAGTGCAGGGACAATACTCCCCCCGTCCCCCTGTTCCGCGGTCCCTGAACACACTTGATATCGTTCAATTTATATACTGGAAATATTTTGTAGCAACTCTATTTCAAGGCTATAACAAATGTGACCTTCCTTGGGAAAACGTACGTTAACGATTTTGCATTAAAACGGGCAAAAAAACGGTTAACGAACGGATAGTAAACGCTTTGTCAAATCGTTTCAACGGATCATAAAAACGTTTTAGACGTTTTGAGTAAAAAATACGAACGGGTAAAGACAAAAAATTAAACGGCTCTACGAACGGCTTTAACAAACCGTTCGAACGAAATTAAGAAACCGTTCAAACGATATTCGGTAACCGTTTCAACGGATCTGCACAGAATGGTATAAAGCAGTGAACAATAATATACAAAAACGGGCAAGTAGGCTATACACTGATCCAGAATTAACCAACATACATTTATCCAAAAGCATGCGTATAAGCACAAAAAAAATAGATCACTTTGGTGTTTATAAACGTTTCATCGTTTCAAACGTTTCATCGTTTCAAAAGTTTTATCGATTTCCGTACCAACAAATTAAAAGACGCTAAAGCCGGAGACACGCGGCGGTGTTTTTGCATAACACGGCACAGCTGATATACATGAGACTTAAGCCCGTGACTTAAGTAAGGTCTCTAAACGCGACTATATACGCAATCAGTTATATTTATAAGGCCTAAAACTAAACGTATAGTACATGTAGCTATACGAAACAAGAACTAGAACCATTATCTGTGTTGATGGAACCTGTCGCGAGTGCTATATTGTCTCAATTATAGTAAATGGCTCAGTATCAAAAATCGGGTGTCCATTATAGCGTATTGGTAATTTCCTCTATATTAATGCCTGTGAAACACGGCACTGAGATCTAAAATGCTCAGTGCATGCTGAGTTAAATTATTGTTACTAATATTTTCCATAATTCATATATTAGTTAGCTCCGGAATATTAGGGAAAGATGCAGTCACAACGGATTTAATAGCGATAGGCCTATATCTGTTAAGTAAAAGGTCAACTGGTCAAGATGTAAAGGTATATATAAACCAACTATAAACAGTTTGAACAGCAAATAAACACAGCATGCACGCAGCAATTAAGGTATATTGCAGAGTGCAGAAAGCAGAATAATGACAATATATTGGTATACTGAAATATTGCAGAGTGCAGAAAGCAGAATAATGACGATATATTGGTATACTGAAACATTTGATGCTCGCCTTAAAATGTACTCCATAAACATGTACTTCCTTGAAATGCACAAAATCCTGTGAATTTAAAGTCATTATATCACGCTAACTCACTTATCATTCATGTAGTGCTACATACATGCACCAACAAAAAGACGCTCACATATCCTATGATTATAAGCACGAAGTATTTGGCTTCGTTAAAGTTCGTTTTATAAGTAAGCCGATACCTTAATTTACATGTTATGTATATTTAATTTGCTTGTAAATCTTTTATTCACCTACTTTCTTCCAAATATCGTGTGGTAGTTTATATAGTAGCTACATCTTTTTATATCAGCCTAATCAAGAAGACTTTATCGACCAATTCCCTATTAGCTATGTTTTGCGCAATCACAACATCGCTATTTAAAACGTCTTTATATCATAAACAACTATATATATAAGGCTGTTCCTGACTGGAACGTTTGGAAATTCCGCACCTGAGATTTTGAAAATTTAATAGTATTGTAAATATAGAAAGTGTTAAAATTGCGCGGTCGATATCTCCGCCGCGCGATACAGACATTCCACACTGGACTGGCTGTTTTCCCCTATTTATTTTGGGAAATGCAAAAATAGCTTGGAACACCTTAATATACACAACCTTTCCTGGTGGTCTTCTATTTTATTTTATTTTATTTAAAGAAATCAGAAATAAATAATGATTATTGAATCGGCATAAGTAGTTGACCACCAGGACTACGCTAACCTTACGACGTCTTCTCACTTCTGATGTCGTCCGTTTTAGTAAAAGAATACATAATGTATCTCCGTCTTCCCAAGTAACGTATCTTCGTCTTTTCAACTATCGAACTTACAGTCGCACGCAGGTATACACTCTATCTATTGGCGCAATTTGAAATTTGCAAGCTAATATTTCACTTGACATTGATGTCAACTTGCATAAGAATAGCTTGATAATATTATACATGTTAATTTAATTATGCTTTTGAGAGAGTTGAATTTCACGCAGCTGGAGTATTTTCCAATGACTGAAGAGACGTCAGCACTTCTGCGGCTTTCTCATTTTAATTATAGTTGAGTTGAGTAAAATGGAGTGGCATGCATGTATGATATACTATATAGTATCACATATTCACATTATAATGGTTTATCGAAACGAAACGGCGCAAATCGTACTCAAAAACCATGGCCGTACGAGGCACTTTCCGTTACAGTGATGCGGTAATTGCGGTGGACACTCAGTGATTCACAAGACTATAAGTACTTTCAAGTATTAATATAGCTTTTGATGTAAAATAACATATTATTATTAGATTCGAAGCAAAGGTTTCGTGCAGTTTACATTATACTTTATATAACATCAGTATATGCACGAATAAACTTTTCAGTTTTGCTGCCTTAGCCTAGGAAAGTTTTATTAATAGCCTAATAACTGTTTATTGCAAAAGCTTTGATTTTGTTCATTTAGTCGCTGTTCATTTGGTATCAAAATCTATTTTCCTGGTTTTAAACTCCATATGAAAAATTAAAGTTGTATCAAGCACCAGTAAGAGAAATTATATTCTGAGAGAAAATTCTACTCCTGAGTTACAAGGGAATATAAACTATTTCCTATAACATGATCACTTAATATCATAATCCGACAATTATTTTAATTAGGTTTATGGTGCCAGTTAGGTGTTGATATACAGTATGCCGATTTCCGTCAAAGTAAGTTGAGTTATCAATGTATTTAATTTGCCGTCGGGCAACATGCACAGTTATTGAATCCACGAAATAGATTATATGCTATCGACGTGTTAGCTGTTCACTGTTCACTTTTCAGTTACAAATCACGGCTTGGTCGCGAGACAATCCAATATGCCGGTAAAGAGGAGTTAAAATTTATGATTTATATTTATTCACGCATTTAAATTTGATGACTTGTGGATGAAAATGGAGCGAAGGTAAATTATAATCTTGTAACTACGTGTCTGTTTTGTAGTAGCGTGGTTGCTGTACACTTTTCAGCAATTTACGAAATAGTACGTATTGGTTTTCAAGGCGTCTACCTTGTGTCCTATTTGGAGTCATCTTGACACCTAGCCTAATAAGTATTTGAATTAGCGAAATTTGGCAAAATATGAGGTACAGAATTATTTTAATAAAGTATAACAACCAGCGAAAAAGTAAGCCACTAAGGTTTCGAGTAAAATTGACCCATTAAATGTTTTAAATGTAAGGTTTCGAGTAAAATTGACCCATTAAATGTTTTAAATGTTATGGGCCGTAACTCTCTACTCTCCAAGATGTTGTTGTTAGAATTTAGTAATGTAATACGATCCTTTAATATGATGTGTGCGCTCATGTCGAATATTCCACTTAATATAAACACAATAAAAGTGCAACAGTATTAAACGTGATTGTACTTATCCCGCCTCTGTTTCAACATATCATATACGAACAAGTGAAAATACTTTATTAGTTAATTGTTTTTTAATTAATGTGTTTCATAATATTTTGTTTCACGGCAGAACCATTG